GCATTGCTATCCTTCCTGAAATTTTAAGTAATTAAAGATTTCATCGCGTCTGTTAACAGATTTAAAAATATGAATAAATAACGACAGTATAAAATAAATAGATATTCAAAAATAGAAAATTGAAATAATTATAAAATAAATAGATATAATAACTAGATATGAAATAAATAGATGTTATAAAATAAATATAAAATAAATAGATGCATCTGAATTTTTCGTTAGATTAGAAATATACACATTTCCACTTGGTTATTCTATCACTAAAATATATTTTACACTAAATAATGGTAATTTATATTATTTTGATAGTAATTTTTATATTATTTACTGTATTATATCGAGATTGATTTTTTTTTTTTAATATTTCAACTTATATATTTTAGCTATAATTTCGTTCATTTAAAAATTCTTAATTTTGAAAATGGATAATGTCAAGAAAATATTGTTCTTTTAGCTAACCGAAACCGATAGTAAATTGTATAAAGATTTTAATATAACAATTTCGGAACGATGGCAAAATGAAATAGCAGATACAATTTTTGAAGTGGTAAATCAAGATGCTGATAAAGCTGAGAGCAAAAAACGAGCTAAACAACGAGCTAAACTTGGTAGTGATGAAAAAGGTAATAAATTAAAACATTAGTAATTAATTAACTAATGAATAAATTTTAAATTATTAATTTATAATTATTTCATTTATAGATTCGGATGTAATCATACATGGTTATATCAAAAAACTTGGTGGACCATTTACATCTGCATGGCAAACTCGTTATGGTAAACTTTATCCAAGTCGTCTTGAACTTTACCCTGAATCACTTACTGGTAAACCAGAGGTAAATTTTTCAAAAATTCTCTCTCCCTCTCTCTCTCTCTCTCAAATGATTTAATTACATCTGTATTATTTCTAATTGCAAACGTACAGAATTTGTTTATAAATTCCATTATAGAAATGTTACGTCATTTCAGTTAATTTTTTTTTTTTTTTTTGAATGAAACAGATTCCTTGCAAAGCTTTTTTTTATTACACAATCAAATTTTAAAAATGATTTAAAATTTTCTCAGCTTTTATCATTGATTTACCAGCTCAATTCATTGAAGAAGTTAAGAAGTTTTATTATTATTATTATTATTATTATTATTATTATTATTATTATTATTATTATTATTATTATTATTATTATTATTATTATTATTATTATTATTATTATTATTATTATTATTATTATTATTATTATTATTATTATTATTATTATTATTATTATTATTATTATTATTATTATTATTATTATTATTATTATTATTATTATTATTATTATTATTATTATTATTATTATTATTATTATTATTATTATTATTATTATTATTATTATTATTATTATTATTATTATTATTATTATTACTTTTGCTACTCAAATAACTATTTTAGCTAGTATTCATGGATCAAATTGAGGATGTCGCTATTGATTTACATAATGTCAAAGGAGAGCATTCAATAATTGTAAAATTAAAAGAAGGTTTTAAAGAGACAAAACTGATTTTTACCAATCAGGTTTGCTTATGTATATCACTCATTTTATCTTCTCTTAAAGATTTTAGCTTTTCTTTTTAGAGAAAAACTGAAAATAACTTTAATTATTTTTCTAAAAATCCAAAAAACACTGTGACTTCAACATTGTTTGATTGTAGAGTGACTAAACTATAATATAGTACAAATTGAAAATTTACAAAATTTTAATTTTAATTTTTTTTTATTTTCTTCTTCAAGAGTAATAATTTCAGGATGAGATATCATTAGGTGAATGGCATACTTCATTAAGGACTGCTCATCGAGTATCGTCCGAATTATTACAACGAATGGGTCGTAAAGCAATTAAAATATATGGCGTAAATCATGATCCAATGCTTGATGATAATGAACGTTTAGCTTCCGTTACGAAAGCTCTTCTAAATCGTACACCTTCTCTTGATTCCGGAATTTAATCTAATAATTATTTTAGCAATAATTCTAGTAGAAAAAAAAAAAAAAAAGTGCTTTTCACTTGCAAAATTCTATTTCACATTTTTCAATGGCACTAGAATGAAACAAATTTTAATGACAAACAAAATACCTTTAAAGCACAAAAATTATTTCAACAAAGAAGAAAAAATATGAGAAATGTGATATTATTCATTTAAAAAGAAAAAATGAAAAGAGTATTCAATAAATGATTTTCTTTAATAAAAAGAAAAATGAAATTAAAATAGTTGCTAAATGAAATTTGTATTTTTTTTTTTCATTTTATGCTGGCTAATTTATTTGTTAGATTTCCTATTCTCAGGCATTATTTGTGCATAAATGAAAAATATAGAAAATAATGCATTATTTGAAATTAATTGAATAAATTATCAAATAAAAAAAAATTTTTGGTAAAGAAAAAAGTACCAAAATCGATGCCACTAAAGAAATTTTTGTAATTCAGTTCATTTTAGCATCTTTTATTGTCTAGTAAGTCTATGATATTAAAAAAAACCACAAAAATTATAAGACAAAAGATATCATGATCTGCACCTCTTAGTTATGCCTAAGTATAAATATCAGTCTTTGTATACTTTTACTTACTTTGGAGCAAATATTTTGTCCTGTTCGTTGATTTTGTTGTTTTAAGAAAAAAAATTTTTTTTGTTCTAATATTACTGTGATAGATAGTATTTTATAAGATAAAATTTAGTTGTCAAAATTTTATCAAGTTATCCTACCACTTTGCAACTCTTTTACACTTGTATTTTGTAAGTACTATTCTAAAATAAACTATATAAAATTTAATTATTAATTTTTTAATCTTTGCTCTTGGCATATACCATTCTACTTACAATAACTTTTGTAATAACTTACAATATTATTTCATGCGAAATCCTTTCATTCTGTACTGTGATTAAGCCAAATAAAGCATACACTGCTTAAAATTGCATTTAAAATCTATTTTCCCTTGGCTCTTTGAATTAATTTCTTTGCTATCAACTAATTCTCCTCAATTTCAATCTCATATTGACATTTTCCTACCCTTACTTCAGAACAAAAGTTGCACGAAGGAATAACATAAAGCCTAAGCGTTTTGGCTAAATAATCCTAATGGCTTGAAATAGCAATAGGAAAAGAGAAAATATATGCGCTAATGCTAATGGACCATTAGATAGTTTGTCGATGAAGTAACAGCCTTATAATCTTGATGTATTTTAAGCGTGAAAAAAAATTATAAAATCTAGTCATAAAAGAATTGTGAAATGAAGCAAATAATGAATGATCACTGTAGTGATGTTGAATAATACTAATGGCATATCATTTAGATCTTTATGTAAGAGTTATACGAATAAAATAAGCTCAAATATTTATTTAATATCATTTGTAAGTGAAAAACATTCAAGTATAATATACTTCTGAAAATATTTGCATAGTATTTAGTTCACAGGTGTTCGAAAACTGTTGCATATTGATATGGGTGCAAATAAAATTAGTTGCTTGAAACGTTCATCAATATTCATAAAGAAATTTGAAAAAAGAATTACGAAATGGAACAAAAATCTCTAATCATTATTCACTCCTTACTTTTTTCTAAAAATTTTAAGGTATAACTAAATTCTCTCTTTTGTTCTTAAAATCAAATAATGAACAATAAAAAAAAAAAGAAATATTATAAGGTCTACACCACCCTAATGATGCATGAATTCAAATAAAACTGTACATATAGGATGATATCACTGATTTTGTTCATCGTCTTCATCAGCTACTTCTTCGTCATCATCTTCCAGATCATCAATTTCTTGCAATAAAGTGCTTCCAGAAATAACATTTGGTACCGAACGCATTTGAGCAAATACAGACTAAAGTAAGTTCAAGAAGGGTAACAGATGTGTTTTAAATCTTTTTTTAAAATATTCCCATATATTTAGTGGAAGAACTATCATTTCCTGTTATGTGAAAGTTAAATGATTACCTGCGCACTGATACGTGATTCTAGTCTCGAAAGTAAAATTTCATCAATTGCATCTGTACAAGGAATTGCCCATGCTGGTTCATCCCATCGCAATGGTACCGTTGGGAAATGCATAGGATACATAAATGCCATATTTTTCCTTGAATTAGAGATGCATTGAAACAGGGATAGAAAATAGATAATGCAGATCTAAAATGACAAAGTCAATAAGTTATAATTTGTGAACAGTATTACTTTCATTTCAAACATGCACCTTTGTTTTACATAACTCATTTTAGTAAAAAAAATGTACGTATTGAGCTTCATATAACAAAGATTGTAACAGGCTAATACAGTGTTGAAATTCATTTATTTCGGAGTTTTGATGATTACAAACTAATATCGAAAATTACATACTATATTAATAGAAAAAAAATCATTATTAATAAAAAATAAAATGAAAAAAGAGACATAAGTGACAGATATAAATATGCGAAAGTAAGAGGCAATGGAAAATAATGCACAATCTGACACACTACATGTAACAAAAATATTTAAACCACAGAGCTCTTTTCTTAGCGACAACAAAAATTCATATTAGAAAATATAAACAAAGGGTAACAAATTACATAAAAATTCACATGCATATAGCAAAATGTAAAGATTATCTCAATAAAACTGCCCATGAGCATATCTATCCGTATCTGAGATATTTCAATCTCACGGATGAAATTAAAAATTTGAGCAATTACAATGATGCCAATTCGTCCTTGTAATCGGTTGGCTCTTCGCCTTCGGCTAACAATTTTCCCACAACAGGGTATTTGTCTATAATACATGAAATTAGCCTTGTCAATTGGAGGGAAACTGAACCTTTACTAAGAATAAGTCGATATGAACAATAAATCATCTGTCATTTATCAATCATTTCATTGCTAACTGAAACATATAATTTAATCCGTCTAAACTTATCTCGAGTTTATATTTCTTTAATGTCTTGAAAATTACGATCTGCAAACAAATATGACAATCAGATAGTAGCCATAAAACCTACAGGTAAACGATTCCATCCATTCTCTAGCTGTATTAAGATCCAAATCTGAAATATCACTTAAGTCATCTGGAATATCTTTGACCAATGTCAAGTCCATTTTTGCCAAAGCTCGTGTAGCATCATGACCTGCCAATTTACCATATGCACCTTCAGGACCATAAAATATACTCCCTTTCGTTACGTCAAATACCTACAAAATCTTTAGTTGCCGAAACCACAATTTTCAGTCATTTTGTATAATATGACATTACGAGCTGAGTTCGAGAAGAAATCAGAATCTTCCATTTTAGATACTGTCATACACAGTATTTCTTAGAAGCTACATTTGCTCTTCAATAATCCATTTTATCATTTCTTTTCTTCTTTTTATTTTTGTAAAATAAATAGATTTCTAATATGTCTATTCGAGAAATTAATTGAATTGTTTCGCTTAATTTGTGCAATTATGCCTAAACTTACTTAAAAAACTATGTATAAAAAATTATGTTTTAAAATTTTACACGAAATTAAATGTTAGTTACCTTTCCACAAACAGCCATAAGAATACGTTCATTTTGTATGCCATCAAAGTGTAACAATTCTTCCACCGTAAAATCTCTCTTTTGCATTGGTGGAAGAGAATTTAATGTCTCTTCCACATCCGAATGTTTCTCTTTTGTTGGCTTCTTTAAGAATACCACATAAATCACATAAATAACAAACACGAAAATCACCAAATCCCATCCACCTAATTCTGTCACATCTCCAAGAGTTAACATATTTCTTTGCTAAATATATCAGTTCTCTTTTTAACGCAGTACAACTATGCAACAAGTTCATCCAATTTTTTTTCTTTATTTTTACATAACATTGATTTAATAGATATGTTTTTATTTTTAAATTGAAAATTTAATTTACATTGAAGAAATTTCCACATTTTATTATCACTACTATTAATTATCTTCGTCTAGACAATCATCATTGATTGTGTTAGAAAGGAAAGGGTGTATTTGTTAGCGAAATGGATAAATAATATAACCAACATTTTAATTATTTTTATTATTTTTAATAGTTTGGAAATTATTTCAAACTATTAAAAATGACTGCATGGTATTAAAAATGAATGTAAAAGATAACTTTTATAAGTAAGTTGATATTTTTCTACATCAATCGATTGTTCAAGTTTTAAAATTTGCTCTTTTTGTATTTTCAGAATATTGCTACCATCTGCTATTTATTTCAATTAAATAATTGATTACAAAAATTATTTTTCCTATTTTTTTTTATTGTAAAGATTTTAATTTGAATGAAGAAAATGTTTTTTCTCTCTTTTTTGTCCGATAATTTAATCATTTCTTTCAACTAATAAATTATTTGTAAGAATAATTAGATGATTAACATGCATTTTGCAAAAAATAAATAATAAATTGAATGTTTCAATGATAGTGGAAAAGTTTGAAATTAATTCGAAATGCTTTTGATTGTATAAATATTTAAAAAAATTTTCATATTTTTGTGAAATATATTAAAGAGAGAGAGAGAGAGAGAGAAAAAAGAAAGTAAATTTAGCATTGTTTGAAATGATTTTTCTTTCTTTTAATACAAATTAAATTAAAAATGTCAATCATTTGTTGTCAGAGAATTTTTGCATAAATTTATCAAATGTGTATTATTATGTAGCAATATAATTGAATTTTGCTTTATCATTAATGTAATTAGCATGGCATTCAATCAGCATCGAGCATTTTTAATTATTTTAAATTCGATTGAACAGTTTTGTTTTGTGATAAGAGAGGAAATATATCCACGGAGATCAGTGATATGATAAATGTTGATGTAAAAAAAAAATGAAAAATTCAGATTACAATTTCAACAAGCAATTATTTCTGCAAAATAATTATTAGCAACAATTAGAAATAAAATAAATGAGAACAGCAAAAAAAAAAAAAAAAAAACATGGGGAAGTGGGATAGAAAAATTTTTATTGTTACTAATGTAAATTTTAGCCATTTATTTGAGATTCTAATTGTTACTAATTGTTGTTGCTATTGTTGTTATTGTTGTTGTTATTGTTATTGTTGTTGCTATTATTGTTTTTGTTTGTTGTTTATGATAATGCAGCTACAATAGCAGTAATTTCTTCTGCTAAACAAACAAAAACCATCTTATACTGTTCGCAAGTTTCCACCATGCATGGACGTTGATCACGTAAATGTTCCAATGAACCTGCTACGTTCAATTCTTTCACACCTGTTAAAAAAGTAAACACTTTTTTTTTTGAAGTGAAATTTAATCTAAGATGAATTTAAAAAAATTTATTACACTATATTTTGAATAGCATATAATGACATTTTCAAAAAAATAGTAATCTATGAATCTGCATGGTTATTTTTAATTTTTATGAAACCAATTTTGCATTTTAAAGGTTAGTGCATTAACATAACGTATCAATTTTACTAACATGTAATTTATTATTGATATTGTTTATTATTATTTATTATTAATTGTTATTATTAATAATGTTTATTATTGTTTATTATTATTTATTATTAATTGTTATTATTAATAATGTTTATTATTGTTTATTATTAATTGTTATTATTAATAATGTTTAATATTATTATTACTGTTTATTATTAATTATTATTATTGTTGTTATTATTATTATTGTTACTATTATTATTAATTATTATTATTGTTATTATTATTATTATTGTTATTATCATTATTATCATTATTTCTATTACTATTATTATTATTATTATATGTTTGAATAACAGTGGCTGGATGATAAATAAAAAATATATATATTCCTGATTTGCATATTAAACTAAAAGTATACCTCTGCTAACTCGATTCAGTATCATATCAAGCAAACAGAATGTACCAGTTCGTCCGGTTCCATCTGTACAATGTACAACAATTGGAGCTGCTCGTCCACGATATGATTTATTGATTTTTCTGCAAAATTATCATAAAATTTTTGTTTTATTTTTTAAAATTATATCTCAACATGACTAACTTTTTTTTATGTATAATTAAATTAATTTTATCTTATATTATAATAATAATTCATTAATAATATATAAGCATTTGTAATAATATCAAAGTTTAGCATTTATGACAGATATCATTTGACGTAAAATCAATATATTAGTATTAATTCGAGAGGTTAAAATAATTCAATAATACAATGAAAAAATGAAATTTTATTTTTTATTTTTATTTTTTAATTTTTGTTGATTAAATTTTCTGTTAGAAAAAAAAAAAGAAAATAATTTTGTGATCAATGGAATGTATACGTATGGAAACGTAAGGAAAGGTGGTGGATTAGTTGGAACAAACGACGCTTCACGTCCATCACTTTTGTGACTATGCAATTATTCGAGAACAAAATTGCTAATCCACAAAAATGATCGACGAGCGGAAACGTCTCATCAACCGGAATGAGTGCAACAGACAATCGGTCATTATTTTGTCAACATAGAAATGTCACAACAGGAATGTTTGTCTGTTTGTGTCTTTACGATTTTTTTTTTTTTTCTTTTCCTTCTATTAAATTGCAATATTAAAATGATAAAAAATGAACTCTATATAGTCTCAATTTGAAATGTTATCCGGAAAAGGTAACCGGAATGATTCATTTATTTGTAGGGATTTTTAAAGAAAATATCAATTGAAAATATTTTTATTGGTTGCAGTATAAGTAATCGTTAAAATCAGGTCGCCAAATTTTTAATATTATAAAAATATATTTTAAAAAGATATATTTTAATATATACTATATATATTAAAATATATTTTAATATATATAAAAAAAATATATATATTTTCTAATATTATATTTACACAGTCTAAAGTAGATACTGAAATTGCTAGATATATATATTTTTTTTCCTATGAATTAACTTATACTATTATTAAAAAGTAACCTGCGAAAATCGAGTAAAGCTTTTGCACTCGGTGGTACTCCATTTTTAGGCCATGTCAAGAAATGAAATTGTGTTACTGTTCGAGTTTCGTTTGTTTTCAAATTTTTTAAATAAAATGATCGTACTAAATAGTCCTCACTCCAAATATGTTCTGATACCAAATGAATCTGAAAAAAAAAAATGATTTAAAATTAATTAATAATTTTTTGCAAACAAATGCAATTTTTCAAAAGTTTATTAGGTAAGTAATAATGTTTACATATGTTTGTATATATTTATTTAAAAGATCATAAATGATCATTGCACAATGAAATTTTAAACTGTATTGAATAAAAATTAAATTTGAGTTTATTATTGTAAAAGTTGAAATTTGCAATGTTTTTTTATCAATAACTAAATGTAATGCAAATGCTTTGCAATTTAATTTTATTTAATTTTATTGTTGTGATTACAATTAAGATAACATTGCAAAATTGTACAAAATATTAAATAAATATGAAAAAATTTTATATGTATATGAAATGAAATACTTTTATATTAATTAATAATTTTTTTAGTTTCTTAAAAATATTGTTTTTCGCATAATTTTTCTTTTGTTATTATCATAATTTGTTCTATTTCTATTTGCATTTTTTTTTTTTTAATAATTTTGTTCCATTTGCATTTTATTTATTTTTTTATTTAAACAAATTAACAAAATTTTTTATCATAATTTATCCGATTTGTATTTTATTTGTCTTTGAATAAATTTTAAATAATAAAACTAACTTCAAAAGATCCATACACTTGTGAACCACTTTCAGGCCAATATTTGAGGCATTGACCTTCTTGCTGATCTTCATTATTTGCTAAGTTCACAATTAATACTGTAGCCTAGAATTTAAAAAAAAAAAAAAGAAATTTATATCTTCGGACATTATACAATAAAGTTTTTAACATTTAATATGTTAAAATAAACTTATCAAATTAATGTAAAAAATTTATGAAACAAAAATAAGTTTATGAAAAAAGAAAAAAATGAAATTAAAGTTAACATTTAATTGATTAAATGATTAATGTATTAAAAGTTAAACATATTAAATCAATGTAAAATAAAATTTAAATAAGTTTATGAATCAGTATGAAGTAAAAATTTATAAATAAAAAATAATTTTTTAGCTGATCCATCTTATATGTTTGTATTTCTTCTAATTTTTAACATAACAATATCGTAATAACTTTTTTTAATTTTTTTTTCCATTTCTTAAGTTTTACATAACTGTAATTTTTGAAGAAATATTTTCTGTTAACATTAAATTTTCATTTTGATATTACATTCTATTGCATTTTTTCAAATCAATTTTATTTGTTAAAATTATTTTTGCCTTTTTATAGTTGCTTATTTTGAATTTATATTATTAATTAAAAGAGATATAACTTGTAAAATTTGATTGATATTAGCAGGCTTAAAATCTTTTCTGATGTATTTCCTATCCACCAATCCTTTTTTTTTTTATCAAGTAGTTAATTTTAATGAATGTTAAGAAGAAAGGTATTTAAAATTAAAAGTTTTAAGTTTTTTTAAAATTGAAAGTTCTTAAATTCAAAATTAAAAGTTTTAATGCTATCATTCAATCATTGAAGCAATAAAATTCAATATAACTATGATATAATAGTATCAAGTGATAAGATCAACATTTATCATCATTTGTAGTTACTGCAGCAGGATAATGATAAATGATAAGCTGATAAACGAGGAAAGTTGTAGGTGGGAATTACTTCAAAATACACATATAATGAAGAGAAAAAAAAAGCGATTAGCTGTATAAATCAAATAAATTAATGATTAATTTTAAAAATAATCATCAAATATGACTAACTTGTTCCCAAATCATTTGCCAAAAATCGGTTATGGTTTCCGGAAGTGGTGATTGTGTAGCAATATAATTGGCTTGTTTCGGATCACAATCATGAATTGCAGATGCATTGATAAATTCGGAATCATTTACGGTGCTACGAATACTAACCAATGTATCATCATCTACAAACATATTATTTAAATGATATTTTTTAAATTAAATGAAATTTTTTTTTTTTTTTAAATGAAACTAATTTTTCAAATGTATTAGAAATGATATATTCGAAAAATATTGTTAATCATTAAATTCTTTTCTTCTTTTTATGTAAAATGAAAGTGAAGTATATTCATAGATTATAAAAATGATCAATGTGATAAAATTTTAGAAATATTTCAAATGTTTTTTTTTTTTTCATCCAAACTATCATTTTGCATTTTACAATCAAATATATTTCATTTTTTTATATGAAAAAAAAAAAAGAAAATTTAATGATTAATAGTTTTTCTAATGCATAACAATGTGTCACTTTTAACATAACAAAATTAATTTTACTTATTAGAAATGTTAGTTGATGAAAGCTTAAAATTTAATTCATTTATTTTTCTTTTTACTTTCATTGTTTTTCATCTTATTTGAAAAGGAATAATTATTAGCATAACCGCTAGCAAAATCTAATTTAATCAAATATTATTTGTAGTAACTTTCTCGGAATGTTTAGAATCGATGTAAAATAGCTATCATTCAGGAATAATAATAATAATAATAATAATAATAATAATAATAATAATAATAATAATAATAATAATAATAATAATAATAGTAATAATAATAATAATAATAATAATAATAATAATAATAATAATAATAATAATAATAATAATAATAATAATTTTGAAAGAGTTTTGATACACTGTATAATATCAATTTTAATTAATTTAATATCACATGAAATTTGGAGCAGAAAAATATATCTCATTGCATAATAATCGATATTTTCTTAGCTTTAGTTTCACATCTTAAAAAGATGTCCAATTTAGATTTAATGAGAGAGAGAGAGGGAGAGAGGGAGAGAGAGAGAGAGAGAGGTATCTTTAAGTGATGGCAAAATTGCTAATGTAAAAAAGGAAATGCTTGAAAAGCATTTGTCATTGTCAAATGTTTTAAGCTTTATACATTTCATAATGCATTAAAGCTCTCTCTCTTCTCTCTCTTCTCTCTTCTCTCTCTCTCACTCTTCTCTCTATTTGAACAAAAATAAAATTAAATTAACGATGAAAAGCTTACATGGAAGATAAGATAGATTTCGATTTTTGTTAATATTTTTTTCTTCTCGAGCAATTGATGATATTCCATTTGCATTTGCATATTCGTTCAATGTTTTCCATTGTTCTTCAATTTTTGATGTATCATTCAAATAGTCACGAAGGAATGACTGAAATTTTAAAATTTGTAAAAGTATGAAGAAGTAATGGATGTAAAGAAGAAATTTTCTTTTTGATGTTAATATGAAATGCATAAAATTTTACAAAAAAAAATGATTGCTAAAAGATAGAGAAGTAATAATAATAATAATAATAATAATAATAATAATAATAATAATAATAATAATAATAATAATAATAATAATAATAATAATAATAATAATAATAATAATAACAATAATAATAATAATAACAATAATAATAATAACAATAATAATAATAACAATAATAATAATAATAATAATAATAATAATAATAATAATAATAATAATAATAAATTACTCTATTATTCAATGTTAAATTCCGGTAAAAAAAAAAAGAAAGAAAAAAAAAGTATTATTTTGCTCATAGAATATATGTTGAAAGGAAATTTAAATTAGAAAAGTTGATGAAAAAAATTTATGTTTGAGAAAATAATTAATGTAAAAATTTTAACTATTAATTAAAATAATTAAGGAATTAAATACTAAATGCAAAATATTACTTACCAAAATGACATGACCGGTTGATATATCAAGATTGGATTGACTAATCGGTTCATCAACCCTTAACAATTTAAAATTTTGAACTTCTATTTTATACTTTTTGAAACAGATTTTTCATATCCCATTTTTTTTTCATTTATTTTTTTGTTTAAAAAATGAAATTATTAGCTAAATAAGCGTACCAGGTTGTTGTACCGGAACGATTAGTATGAATGTCAGTGATGCCTGCTGATTCATGTGAAGTCATCTGATATCGGCATAAATCCTGATAAGCAAGTAATGTCTTATCATTATATTTGTCACATTCAAATTCTGAAATATTCGATTTACGGATCTTCTTACGATGTTCCCTGATTTGATGAACTGCCATTACCGTCACCAGAAGTATCAGTGTAAATGCGCTTACAGCAAGTATTGGTATAAAAAAATGATCTCGAGTTTCACTTTCAACCGGTACCGCTTCCTGAAAAGATATTTCAGCGATATTGTTTCAGGAGTCAATAATAAATGAATAAATAAGCAAATTAATTCATTAATTAATTGATTGAATAGTTAATTAAATAATAATGATAATGATAATTAAAAAATTAAATGAAGAAATAATTAATATTTGCAAAAATAAATAAATAAATAAACAAATTAATTAATTAATTGATTTCTCTTTAACTTCTCTAAGATGCCAGAAAAAATTTTTTTTTCTTTACTTTTTTTCTCAAAGTATATAACTTACTCTTCCACTTCCGATACCGGTTTCATCGACGTGTACGCCAGACACTGTTTGAATATCTTTTCGTCGTTTATCTATAATAGTACAGAAAATTTCATCTAACAAAATTTAAATTTTGATTTTTATCATTTATCTATAATAATAGTAAGAAAAAAAGAATTTCATCCAACAAAGTTTAAATTTTGAAAATTTTTTCAATTTTATAATATAAAAAAAAAATTTAACTTACAAACATCTTCTGCGATACCTCCCACCGAATCTAAACGTTTTTCATTTTGCGAAGATCTTTGAGCTGATCGACCAGCACGAAATGATAACTGATCACCGTCCAATCTGCAACAAATTTTCATAATATCGTAGATAAGAGTAAAGATTGATCAGATTAAGTGTTATGATATGTTAAGATGATATGATTAGATATCAGTGATAATCATAACTGATCTATTGACTAACTTAGAAGTACATCTTATTATCATTGATTAGTTTCAAGCTTCTATCAGTATGTTTTAATTAGTATAATTCAATTATTACTAATTCTATATAATCTTTAAATTAAATTTGCTATATAAGATTAATTAATAATTATTTATTTATGAAATGTACAAATAATCAATCACAAAAAAAAGAAAAATTTCAAACAAAAAAAAATGATAATTAAACGTACAAAAAATCATCAAAAATAAGTTGATTTGGTTTTGCAATTGATAAATCCAAATAGTTGATAAGATGATATAATTTATCATTATTCAAATCTTTAGCAACTTTTAAATATACTCGATTACCGTTTACTTTCTGATATGATGGCATTCCTTTTACTATTTTATGCTCTATTTTTTCCAAACCTAAAAAAAAAAAATGATTAAATTTTAATTTAAAATATGAATGTTCTGAGAAAAAAAAAAAACAAAATCATACAAAATAAAATATTATAAACAATAACTGAATTTAGTTTTAATTAAATTGAAATGAGACATTTGTCGATTACTATTTATCCTTCAATAAAATGATATTTTGCACTTTAATATCAAAACTTTGTTAACGAATGAATTTCATTTAGTTGTTAAAAAAAAAAAAAAAAAGTTAAATCGAACAATTTTTATTTTATTGAAGTAATATGAAAAGTGCAAATAGTGTGCTACATTCAATGATTGAGCAATTTGATGAATTTAAATTCAAATGATTAAAAATTTAGACGAAAAAAAAACAAAGTATTAATTACTTTGTTACTGTGAATGATTCATTGTTTTACATTTTACATTTCATTGTCACACCCTTAACCACAATTTTGTCAACTGTAGGGTCAATATTAGTAAAGATTTTCATTCGTTTTTTTTTTTAAAATTTTTAAAAATGTAATTAACCTGTATTTTGATTACCAAGATGCTCGATATCTTTTTTTAAAACAGGTGCATGATAGCCAACAAAATTTAACGATTCTTCTTCCTCTTCTTCACCAGAATTTGGAACTGCTATAAGTAATTATACTAATTAAAATTTCATTTTAATGAATTTGAATTACTATCATTGTATTAATTTGTTTTTTTATTATTTCTTTTAATTTGCGACTAATTTTGAATTGTGATTATTTAAGCAAAAGAAAAATCTTTTTTTTTTAATTATTTATTTTAAAGACCACTGATTAATTTTTATGAATATTAGAGTGAAATTTTTTCTTTTGACTAATTTTGATTACATTTAAAATTTGCAATTAAAGCAATTATACCAGATGGCATGAAAGCTTCTACCGCTAGCATATTTCCATCATTATCAATTAATTTTCCTTCAGTGTCCTTCCATATTTTTGCTTTGAAATTATTATTGTCATCAAATAATTGTCTTTTGGGAATTGAATTGAAATTATTTTCGTTATTATCTTCATCATCACTCGTCACATCACTTATAAAATCTAAAAAACACCTGTAAAATCTGAAAGATAAAATATAAAATTTGCTAGTAAAATTTTCTCATTAACTTTTTTAAATTTCATTATAAAAATTAACTTCCATGTAGTAAATAAGTAATTGTTGTATACAATTAATATTTGTGTAAACAAAAAATGATGTAATTTTATTTAAAATTTAAAAATTTAATTGAAATTTGCTAGATGTTTTCTCTATGCATTAATTCGTATTAACGATACCCATTTGTTGTTGTTGTTGTTGTTGTTGTTGTTGATATTGTTGTTGTTGTTTTTGTCGTTGTTGTCGTTGTTGTTGTTGCTGATATTGTTGTTGTTGTTGATATTGTTGTTGTTGTTGATATTGTTGTTGTTGTTGTTGTTGTTGTTGTTGTTGTTGTCGTTGTTGTCGTTGTTGTTGTTGTTGTATGAAATTATTCAACAATTCCTTATTTGAGTTGACACTTTGAATATCTGTGACATCATTGGCAAGTGCCATTTTTATTGACTAAAATAGTTTAATTTCATTTTTAGCATCAAAATTAATTTTGAAAAGCAAATTCAATTTTTTTTTTTTTATTATCCTAAACATTATAACAATATAATCCTAAAGAAATGAAATTATAGATTCGCAAATCTGTAAACTAAACAAAATTTTATATCGAAAAAATCATCTCAAATACAATTTTTATCAATTTCAATGCTTCAAGGAAATGAAACTGATAATTTCCTTAATGTTTCCTTGTTGCACCAATAATTTCAATTGTTATTTCATAAATTTCAAAAAAAAAAAAAATGGAAAAAATGATTTCATAAAAATTTTTCAAGCATATGAAATAAGCTATTTCATTCATTATCACATATTTTTTTAAATTTTTCATGTGTTCAAGAAAAAAAAAAGAAGAAAATTTTGTATTTTTAAACTTTAAACAAAATTTTATTTAAAAGCAATTTTTTTAACAGTAAAAAAAAAATTGTTAGTTTTTCAAAAAAAAAAAATTTAAAAAACAAAAGAAAATGAAGAATATACATATATAATATATAATGTGTTATATATTAAATTATTAAATCAATTTTAGATATCAAATTTAAATTTAGATATCAAATTTAAATGAAACTAATATTAATATTATTAAAAGGATTGATTTCTGATGTTTTCCATTATAAATTACAATCAATATTTAACAGAAAACAACATGTTTACTGAATTAATTTATTACTGAATAATTATTTGTTTCTATTGAATTAATTTATTATTGAATAAATATTTGTTATATCTCTGTCATTGGATTTCTATTCTATGTAATATAATATATTATGCATTGCATATTAAATTATTAAATCAATTTTAAAATATTGTCAAATTTAAATAAAACGAAATATTATTATCAATGTGTAAAAGCTTTTTTCCAAAAAAAAGCCAAAATAAATGTTCAAAAATCAAAAATAAATACAAAGTTCTCAATTACTGATTATTTTGATTATTTTATTATTAATTTCCATTATTGCTACGTTTTTGATAAAATAAAAAATTCAATAAATTACAATCAAAAAAAAAAAAAATGAAATGATATTTTAATTTGATTGAAAAATTTACAAACAAAACATAAAAAAAAAATTAAATTATTAAATTAAATTTAAAAAAAAAATTTTAACAAATATTCCATTTTCATTATTTCACTATCATTTAGTTAATTCCAATGTCAAAAATTTTTTCTTCTTTGTATACTTTTATAAATTTATTCAAATAAATAGAATCGAGAAGAAAAAAAACAGAGAGAGAGAGAGAGAAAAAAGAAAATAAAAAAGGTAAAATTAACCTGTAACATTTGCCAAATATTTTCCGGATTAACAACATTACAAAAATTTCGATCGTATCTGAGTTGAAGCATTAAAACCACTTTGAAATATGCAATAAGACATTGTGCTCGAGCATCTTCCAGCATATAACCATTTTCATTAAGTTGCTTTAATTGATTGCTTAATACTTTTTTCAAAATATAATCAATCGGATTTAAAACAATCAATGCAACATGTTCTGTTGTTGATGCACATTCACCAAATAAACCATCTAAAAAAAATTTAACAAAATTTTTTTTTGAAATTTAAATTTAATTCTGAATTAATTACACATTTCACCAAATCATCTATTTAAAAAAAGAATGAAAAATATATGTATATATATATTCTTTTTTTTTTATTTTCAATAATATTTATAATAAAAAAGGAAAAATTTTTTTTTTTTGAAATTTAATACCAATTCTAAATTATTATATTTCATTTGATTTTATCAATTATTTAATTAGAAAATAAATGAAATAATAAAAGTTGACTAATAGGTGCTAGCATTTTAATATTAATTATATATGCATAAATTATATTTTTTATAAATAAAAAAAAATTTTTTTTTAAATATTAAATGATGAATAAATGTATATAAAGTGTACAAATTACCACTTTTTTCTTTACTTTTTTCACCTGTTAATAAGTAAAATTTGAATAAAAGTTAGAATTACGGTGGTTGCTAAAATAAATTAAAAGATCAAAGTTTTCGCTCTTTTTTTTTTTAAATTCTTTTTTTAAGTGACAATTGTATAGCAATAATATCTTTTCTTTTTTTTTTTTTAATTTTTATTTATGTAAATAATTTTTGCATAAATTTTTCAATAAATTGTATTAAAAAATTTTTTATGAGTTAATATATGACATTTTATCATACATATACTTTTATTAATCTTTGATTTGTTGTTATTTATTTATTTATTTATTGTTATTTACTACTATTTATAGATATTATTATTATTTACTATTATTATTATTATTATTATTATTAACATATTTATTATTATTAGCTTTGTTCTTTCTATCATTTTCTAATGATTTGCCAAATCTGAAGCTAAATATAATGTTAAATAATAGTTTAATAATTGTATAATTAACATTTTGAATTTTTTTTTTTAAATTCGTTTTTATAGAAGTCAACAAGAAAATATTTCAAAAATTGTTAATTAATTTTTATATTAAATATGAAAAGAAAATATAAGAAATTAAATATTCCATGAATAATCGTTGATATATTAATGAAATTGAATAAATTTTTTAATTTACTTACCTGTACTTGTAAGAAAAATGTAATATGCACTAAAATACCTGTCCCATCTTTTTTTTTTAGTAAAATATTGTAGAAAAAAAGGAAGGAACAAAGTTGATGAATGAATTTAAAACAATGTTATTCACACAAAAATTGTTGCTTCTTTAAAATTTGATACTTCCTTTTTTTTAAAAAAAAAATAAAAAATTAAAATCAATTTTAAATTTTATCACTGTCTGATTTTTTTTTCTGCTTTAAATTTATCATAGATGAAAATTTAAATTTTATCACTTGAAATTTTATCACAGATAAAAAGAAAAAAATGATTAGTAATTGATAAAGAAATGTTTTCAAAAATATTTTAATCTGATAAATTTTGTTTTCATCAATTCATCAATATAATATTACAAAAATTTTTAATCTTTTGCGCTTTTATCAATTAATACATGAATTAAAAAAATTAATTGAATGAATTAAATTAAATTAGATTAAATTGAAGAATCAATATTAGATTAGATTTTTAATGAAAATATTAAATTCAATCTTAAGATTCTATGAAATTACGATTTAAAATTTAAAATAAATTAAGCAAATAAATCAAAAACATAATTGTACGTATCTGTTTACCACTGAAATTAAAGTTTTTTTTTTTTCATTTAATTTTTTTCTTTTATAAATTTAAAAAAAAAAAAGAAATAACAAACCTTGCACACAAACTTCATCTTCTTCACATATCTCATCATACAAAATGCAACCTAAAAAAGAAAATTGTTTATTTATTAAAGAAATTATGAAATTAATTAATTAATTAACTAATTAAAGTTAAAATGATTATTAATAGTTTAATTAAGAATTAAATTGGAAATAATTGATATTACGCATTTTTGTTCTTTTTTCATTTCTCTTAACTATAGATACTATATTAAATTTATCAAATTATGCAATCAATAAGAAATACTTTTTAAAATTTTGCAATTTAACAATTTTGCTGAATTGAAAAAGCTCATTTTGCGCTTAAATAGTAATTAATTCTTTCATTATTGGCCAATAAAAGACTATCATTTATTTTAATTCCTCTTACTAAGCTACTAAAATTACTTTTACGTTTGCATCGATTACAAAAAAAAAAAAAAAAAAGAGAAATAATAATAATTAAAATAGAAAATAGCAAAAATTATTATTAACAAAATTAGATTTAACAAAAACATTTATAATATAAACAAAACTGTTTTAATTTATTTCGAATAAATTTATTGCTATCTTAATATTAACAAAAACTTTTAGCATTTAAAATAATCTAAAATTCGACAAAACAAAAATTCATTTTAATTAAATTTTAAACTGGAAAGAAAAACAGAAGAATGTTTAAAAGAAAGCAAAAGAAGAAAAAAAAGATAAACTAAATTTAGTCATATCAGAAAAAGAGTATAATTTTTCCATTAGTGCAATTTCCAGTTTCTTTTTTTTTTTTTTTTTTTGCATCATACTTATTTATTTCATTTAAAAAAAAATAGAAAAAAAAGTCACCAAAAATAATTAGTATTTTAGTTCTTTGCATGATTACGAAAAAGAGAGAAATCATTAATTCTGCGTCAAATATTTTGTAAGAGAATTTAATTAGAGAGCTATTGAATATAAATATTTTGTGATGCTTTGCTAATAAGATGTTAGCTTCAATCTTCAAATCATTTTTATAATTTTTTTTTTTTTTTAAAAAAAGAGCAAATGAAGAGATGAAATGAAATGAAATGGAAAAAAAAAAAATAATGCATCTATTCAATAATTAACAATCGAAATGATTAAATACTAACAGTTTAGTACTTATATATTAAATTTATTTGTTTATATGTATTACTATATGATTTACTTATTAGTATTACTTTGAAATAAGAGTTAAATGTAATTTGAAAACTGGTTATAAAAAACAAAATCAAATATTAAAAGAATTATAATAGTAGTTTTCTTTTAAAGCCTTATTAACTTATTCAAAATTTTAGTTTTATGATGAATTCCAATTTATGTATGCTACTTTTGCCTTGTTTTTTTCTTCTTATTATTTATCTTCAATTTTTTTCTTTTAGAATTGGAAAATAAGATTAGCTTAGAGATTTATTCATATTAGTAATTAGGGATTGATTAGTAATGAAATAAACATTTAAAAATTATAATCAAACCAGATGATAGCTTAGAATTATCGTATAAATTAAAATGTCACACTAAAAGCAATAATTTTTGTTTCTCATATCTCTCGCCTTAAATAATAATAATAATAATAATAAATAAATAAACAATTATATAAATAATGATAATAATAATAATAATAATAATAAATAAATAAATAAACAAATATATAAATAATAATAATAGTAATAATAATAATAATAATAATAATAATAATAATAATAATAATAATAATAATAATAATAATAATAATAATAATAATAATAGTAATAAAGTGGAAATGAAAATTTTTCTGTCAAGCAAAGTGGAAAACATTTTGCATTCACATTTGTGTTTGCATTTCTCAAAGTTTTGACTTCAAAATTTTCCAAAACTTCAAAAGTCAATAATTATTTATGTATTTATTTATTTTTAGTAGCAGTTTTGATTTATTTTATGAATGAAATTCGAATGCATAAATATAATTTACTTTTTTTTTTTGAATTAAATATTATTAACTAATTTAGAAATTTTAGCTATTATTATATTATAGTTTTTGAAAGTGTTAGAAAAAAAAAAGTAAACTTTTTTTTAATGAAATCAGAAGTGAAAGAGAATAGTGCAAAAAAAAAAAAAGAAAAAGGAAAAAGCTCCTTTTAAATATATTTATTCATTTCTTTACTTACTTACAATATCATTCAGAAATGAAAATTGAAAATTTCTCAAATAAGTTTAAAAGCATTTCTTAATTATGTTAGAAAAAATGTGAGAGAGAGAGAGAGAGAGAAGAAGAAGAAGTAAAAATTTTTGAAGCAATTTATTTAATATAACTAATTTTAATCTGGTTTATAAAGTACATCAGCATAAAAAAAAGAAATGAACTGAAGCTTATTAAAATCAAAAATGAACACAGTAAAGATAAAAAGATAAACAATAATGTTTTTTTTTTTTTTTTTTAAAAAAATAATATAGATCATTTTATGATTAATTACAAAAATAAAACTTAAAATTTTTTTTTAATAAAATTTATGATATTTGATGATCGGAGTAGAATTTATTTAGAAAAAACAATCAAAATTTCAGTTTTTTTTTTTTTTATAAAACTTAGGATTGTATTTTTTTAATGTTTAATTATAGAAATAAATGATATGAATAATAATCATATTAATTAGTAATTAATCATTAAGCTATATAAATAAGTTACAGTTCTGTCGCATATAATTAATATTCAACAAATTTAACATTTAATTTAATAACTTCAATTACTAGATACTAGATAAAATTCATTTTTAATTGTTTAGATAATATAACCATTTACATCAATAATTTTTATCTCTTAAAATAATCAAATCCTAATTTAAATTAATTTAAAAATTTATATTTGAATGCATTTTAATGATATTTCATCATTTTATTTAGCAGTAGTAATAATAAGTAGTAACATCATATCATTCTTTCATTTATTAGTAATTTATTTAAAAAAAAAAAAAAAAATTTATTATCAATTATAAAATGACTATTTATTGAGTATGTAAATGAAAATGTTTCTAATAATAGAATGATGCATCATATATTATTATTTTATTTTTCATCATCTCATTTTAGACTTTCTGAAATGAAATATAATTCCAGAAAGTCATCTTATTTGAATAATTTATTGAAAAAATGAAAATACATTTCTGAATAACTAATGAGTTTAGCAGCAATCATTTCTACTTGCTTTTCAAATAGCACTTATTTAATCTGATAGGAAGAAAATAAATAAATAAATAAATAATAATAATAATAACTATTTCAGTACTACTAATCATTCTTTATATTACATTTCATATTTTCTCTCTCAACAATTTTTATAGCTTGTTTATTATAATTCATCATTTTATAGTCAAAAATGATGAAAGAAATGCATATGTAATATACACATATATATTTGTTAATGCAAATGACAACAATTCATTCATTTAAAATGTACCATTATGGATTTCTTTATATATAACTTTTTTTTTTTTACCTTCTCTCTCTCTCTTTCTCTCTCTCTTTTTTTCTTTTCCCTTTTCTTGTTTCCTCTTTGACTATCTTAAGAAACACTTAAATGCTTTCTTATATAGCATTAATGTGTCACCTAGCAACCATTAACAACTTTTTTTCTTTTAAAAAATAAATTCGTCATTTCGAAACTTCAAAAAATAATTCATAAAATAAGTGCAATATAAAAAAAAAAAATCAATATTCTAGCACTACTACATATAAATGAAATGAAAGAAAAAATAAAAAGTAAGTAATATAAATATGTATGAAAAAAAATTATAAAGTTAATTTATAATATCAAAATTTAACTTTTTTACTTATAACAATTTATAATCTTTTTTTTTGCATTTCAAAAAGAAAAAAAAAATTGTAACAAAATTTTTTCTATAATTTAGTAGAAAAAAAAAACGAATTAAATTAAATTAAATCGTTGAAAAGTATTATTTTTTTTTTAGAAAAATTTAAAAAAATTTTAAATATTGCGAGAAATTTGTTTAAAAATATATTGAATGAATGAATGAATAAAAGAATTTATAAGCGTTTTATTGAGTGTTTCTATAATTTTAGTTTAATTATTTTTCATTTAGTAATTAAAAAAAAAAAAAAGTGTAAAATTTGTATTATATTGGCGAATATAGTAGTATTAGCATTGCAATACGCTTTATAACTTTTGAATTTTAACTTTAATTTAGTTTAAACCATTTATGTAATTGCAAATAAGAATTTATGAAGAAAAAAAAAATTGATTTATTAATTTTTTTTTTATTTCTAAAAAAAATTTTGTTTATTTTATTCCATTTTTTTTTTTTTTTTTCATTCTGAAATTACTAGCATTTATATTAATCCATCCGTAATGATTGTTACTTTTTATTTTGTTTAATTTCAACATCTATTTCATTCATATATTAACTGATAAGTGTTATCAATCTAATATATCAGTAATAAGTCTTATCAATTCGATATATCAGTAATTAAATTTAACATCATTCAAATTCTAACACTTAAGCATACGTTAATTGTGAATGCACATGACGTCAAATGAGAAAATAATAAATCAGAAAAGCTGTAGCAAATAATTATTATTGATAAATGGATTTGCATATATTTCAATTATTAATTAAATTCTATAATTCTGATTTTGTTTCAAATATTTAATAAATTTTTCATTTTTCTTTTTTTCTTTTTTTTTATCTGAAAAGATCTTAGTTTAACAAAATGCTAATAGAAGTATGTGAAAAAAGACATGCAAACATGATGTAATTAAACGGAAATTGAAAGAGAGAGAGAGAGAGGGAGAGAGAGAGAGAGAGGGAACAAAAAGAGGATGGGATTCTATTTTTTCAATTAAAACACAACTCTCAATCCTACTAAAATCGATTTTAAATTGAATATAATAGAAACAAACCTTAAAAGATTGAAAGGAATAAAGACTGAATGTCATATACATACATACTATATTATATTCTTCTTTGAATTATTATAAAATTCAAAAAAAAAAAAAAGAAAAAGCTCACAAATTGAAATTTTTTTCTCTTATTTATTTATTTATTTTTTTTTCTCGAAAACAATGTAGTGAAAATTAAGTGTAATTTAGGCTCATTGAATTATATTTTTCTATAATTCAATTCCTGTAAAGTAAATTTCAATTTTTATTCAATTTTTTAGATTATCTAATTCAACTCGATTTATTTATTTATTCCTAAAATTGATAATCAAAGATAAACTTTTCACATCTATATGAACTTTTTCGAAATGATTTCTTTTTTTTTTTTTTGTATGAAAATATAAAAATGAGATGAAAGTAATTTAAGTGAAATAAATTAGAGAATTTGTTGAAAAGCTTTTTGGCTGCTTAAGGAAATATTAAAATTTCAGAGGGATTTGTTTCATTTGTTTTTATATTGATTAATTTATTAAAATTTTTCAATATTTTCAATAATATCAGATTACCATAATTTTGTTGTTTCTGTGTGTTCACAATAATTCATAAATAATATTTATTAAATCACAATGCCTGTTTGTTTGTTTGTTTGTTTGTTTGTTTGTTTCCTTTTTTCAAGTCGTTTTCACTTTTATTTATTTATTATCAAAAAATTTTCACTATATTTCATCTTTTCATCAAATATTTTCTTTCATATTCATATCATTTATTTACACAAAAAAAAAAAATCACTCCTTTAAAAATAAAATTAATTAATTTTATTGTTTAAATAATTATTTCTAAAAAACAAAAACAAAAAAGAAACATTAATAACCTACCGTTAGCTGATTTGGTATTAACAGTACCAGCTAAGAGAAAGAAAATGATAATAGTAACAGGATGGATAATTTGTTGAATTAAAATGAAAAATGTTTTTGAAGCAGCACCGGAAATTGGCCGATCTGCTAGCATACCGTCGTCAACCGCTTGTCGCCATTTGCAAACCTTTCTCAACTAACACAATGTCGCCGCTCGTTTCGTTTTTGGGGTGGAGAAGATATCACAGCAAGCCTATCATTCTTGCTAACATAACAACTAAAGCTACTCTAGATGCATGCAATGCATGCATGCATGCATTGCATACATACATGTATATATGCATTTTGTGTTGTTATAGCTTTTTTGCACTATTTAGAATCTGACTATGTTTAATTTTGGGCTAAAGTCTTCAAAGTAGACAACGAGAAAAGAGCAAAAAAAAAAAAAAAGAAAGAGAAAATAAAAAAAAAAAAAAAAACTTTTCATCTCTCTTCAATATTCTTCATTGCCTTATCTTTTTATTATCAAACAAAAACCTTTTTCATTCTCAGTTATAGGCACTTGGCTCATTTCTTTCTTATTGATTACAACCCTAGCATCAAACACTTTAGGCTATATACAACTGCCAGTATTTTGTTTATTTATATGTATGTACATGTATGTGTGTGTATGTGTGCATGTGTGCATGTGCACAAATTGAGAAAGTAGATCCGATGAAATAGGTAGATATCACACATACACACATACACACACATACACACACATGCACACATGCACACATACACAAAGGCTTAATAACTGATATGAAATGACATTTGATGACAGATAAATGAAAGTAATGCTAGGTGAGCATTATTCTAATAAAAATACCATTTAGCTTATATTAATAAATGTGATTGCACATAAAAATATATAACATGCATTCATGCATGCAGCGTAAACTTGAAGCGCTACTAATTAACTTTATGTATTTTATCTATTCATTGAATTTCAATTTATTTTTTTTTTTGCTGGAAGCTATAAACGAGCATAAATATTTGGATAATTTCAACAGTGATGCAATATCATTTATCCGATATGAAATGAAAATTAGAATAAGAAATGAATAAATGAATAAATCAATAGATGATAAGATAGAATTATATTATTCAGAAAAAGGTATATTTTTTAAACGATCAAAAAATCTCAGTCAATTCTCTTCGCAAAAGATCACAAAAATTCTTCAGTTCTCAGAAAATTTCTTGTAAATAAGCTTTCTCTTTTAAAATTAAATTTCAAATTCCTTTTGTTATTCTTTTTTTTTTCGAAATCTCCTGACATTATTATTGTAAATGTTCCATTTTCTTTTTAGTGAATATTTCAGAATAAAATAGCGGTACTGTTAGTTTTGTGGAGATAAATTAAAGGATAATTTTTAGATCTATTTTACCGACTTACACAAGTTTAGAAGAATATCACTGGGAATAAATATGAAAATATGATAAAAATGATATGATAATTTTGAATTTCACATAGAAAATAGAGAAAGAGCTTAACATCTCTCCAATTTCATTTTCAAGCCAAAATATTCTCTCCACCAACACTAATATTCAGTATTAAAGCTTTTCATTTATGCCTGGGAACCAGTATTTGCACTGTGTCCCGCTGCACACAGCCTAGACAGCCCATTAAATCCGGCAAAACCGGGTGTCATATCTCGCTTTGCTACGATGATTTGTTCTGTGTTTTGAATTAGGTGGATCATAGCGAAAAATTCTGTCTCATTGCTGGTTTATTGACTCTAAGCTTAGATTTTTTTTTCATCTTTTTTGATCTAATATTTTTTTGGATTGATTTATTTGAGTTGTAAGAGAAAAGTCTGAACTATAATAAGCAATGTTTTAGTTGAAAACTAGATAAAAGAACAGCTGATGTAATAAAATGTGATTAATATGACATGCTTTCTTTGACAAAATATCTAATAATTTGTTTTTGACCCTTGTTATGCTAATATTTAAAGATGTATCATTTCATTGAGTAGTCATTGTGATTCATTTCAGTTTTCCTTCCGCACATTACTTTACAAAATCATTTTCTATTTTTATGCTAGTTTAGTTGAGCTATGGACTAGACGATAAATTTTACACTGAGAACATTTTATGAAATGCTCATTTCAATGAAAAGTAAAATGATTGGGAATAATTCATTTTTTTTTGAGAAGTATGGAATGTTTCGTAGAATTACTGGATGCACTAGAAGAAGAAAAAATGGCGATTGTCGGTCTGAAAGATCAACAATCCAGCAGCAGATCTCATGGGAATAAGACTTGTTGTAAGCAAGCACGCTATTTGAGGTAATGCTATGAAGATATTTTGATCAGTTTTTTTTGATTACGTAAATAATACTAAAAGAAGTAAAGTTATTTTGATAGTGAGATAATTATTCAGAGATCTTCGCATGAAACTCTTGCAGTTTTTATCAGCAATGATTTTTGTGGTTAAGTGGAAGACTGTTCATGAGTTCCTCTTATTTTCCAGTTGAGAATTTTTGGTCTTTACTGTTCAGCTAAATCTATTATGGCTTTTTATGGAAAGAAAAAAATGGTAAAGTTGGAAATAAACTGAAGAGCAAGAGAGGAGCTGTAAGCGTGTAGCGATAAATTAACTTTAAGATGGATCATTTCCATTATAGTATGACATTAAAATATTACCAGTGGCATGTATAGCCATTTTCTTTTTTTTTTTTTGTGAGATATTTGAAGTGACTTGATTTTCTGTGAATAACTATTATTATATGTCTGCTGTGACTAATTAGCGGACATATAGCTTTTTTAATATTTTTATTATAATTTAGAATTGTTGAAGGACGACGATTGAACAGATATAAGGAAAGGCGTCGACGTCGTGAAAATCAAACAAAAAATCCGATTCTTAAAGAACTTAGTTTCATTTTACAAATTTATATCGATTTCGGATTTACATACCGTATGAGTGACAAAGAAATAAGTAAACTGGTTCGGCAAATGGGTCGTGTATGGGGACTCCAAAAGAAGTTCGCCTTTTTTTTTTTTGTATGCTATAAATGGCACCCTAGATAGTTTTGTTAGTTTAAGTCTATTACTGTTTGTCTATTAAAGTTGTTGACTAAGGTTTGCTATAATCACGGTTTATGGCTTGAGATACGACATTCTTTCCATGTTAGATTATGTTTTGATAGATTTCCTAGTGCAATGAATTTTCCTTTATACTCACAGCAGTAAATCATGAGATAAAGAAAGTATAATTTGTGTAAGTGAATTCACATCATAGATTATGCATGTATTGTGCTTATAAACGTGTGTTAAAATGCAATTAGTAATGTGAAGCAATCATCTATAAGTCGATTCAATTGTTAAATTTATGAGACTCATAATAGCAGATAGTTTCACTCAATCGATAGATTTGCAGGAGTCCTGGTTTGCAGGTTACACTTCTTTCACCAGATGAACGCTTTTTGTATGAAGGACGTCAGAAAATGTCTGGTTTCGACCGTTTCAAATGGATTATTTCGGATAAAAGTATAGATGAGGTAAGATCTATATTATGTTTCTAGTTTATCGAATTGGAGAATTTTAATTCCTAGTCATTGAATAAACTTGTAAAGCTGCAATTAGTTGCTTAGCTTGAATTGAACTGCAGTCTACTTTTCTAGAAATGAATTTACAATTTTATGATTTCTCTAATTTAGAAGTAGCAGTCAGTAATCATTCAACCGTATCATCGCATTGTAAATCATATAGAAAGTACTTTTTTACTTCTGTTGGACCATTTATATGCGTCACATGTCGTGTTCACATTGTTTCGCTGTAGCATCTTCATTATAAGTGGAAATTGCAGTTTATTACGAAATGCCCTATGGTGTATTTGAGTCCAGATTCGCAGCTTGATGCGTTGCTAGATGTGAGACCTGACGAAATATATATTATTGGTGGTCTTGTGGATGAAACTGGAGTTGGATCGTTGTCATATGATAGAGCAGGTGTCTTTCCATCTTTTGCTTTATAATGGGCATTAATTAAATTGCTTTGAGCAGTTCTAAAATTGACTTTATGTATAGATAATAGTAGTGTAACTAAAGAGATTAAGATGTAATTAAAGAAATCGCACTAGATACTTTAGCGAACAAAATGGATTTAAATTCAAAACCAAGTAAAAGATTTTTATAAATTGTTCTGCAGAAGAATTAGGCTTGGATGCTCGACGATTACCAATACAAGAATTTCTTCATCGAAGTGACAGTGGAACATTCAATGTGATGCTTACAATTAATCAAGTTGTTGAAATCCTTGTACGTTACGTCTACTCAAAAAATTGGACTGATGCACTTTCAGTTGTACCTAAAAGAATAGGCTATGAAAGTATAAAATTACCGATTTAATTCATTCTTTTCAATAATTTAATGTGTTTTTTGGAGGTAATTTTTGAATTATATGTATTTTGTTTTAGGAAATTTACAAACGCTGTATAGTATAGGAAGATATATTTAAAAAGTGAAACAAATTTGTTTATTGTTAATTCACTTTCGTTTTTTAATTTTGATAAGTACTTTTCATGCTGATAGTTTGTAGTTATTGGTTATTATTACTATTATTCGTGTTTTTGTGAAATTAATCTGAAATACAAGTTTATTTCTATTACGGCGTAATGGTTCATTTTCCATCAAATGGTTTTTTTTCTTTTTCTTTTTTGCTGTTTAAGATTCTTTGTTTCGTTTCTTCGCGGGGAATTTGCTGTAAGTGTTAGGTTTTTCTCATAACGCACTTTTTATATGTTTAGGAAGGACATAGTAAGACTATACAGTGGTACATAATATGGACGAGAAAGATGACTTTTTTGGCATTCGTGAAGCCACGGAAACATCCCTTCCACGACATATGGAAGCTGCAATTATGTTACGGTCAAGGACAATGGGGAAAAATCGTCGTGAAGATTCCAATAAACAAAATGTTGTTTCAGACCAGAGGTCGGCTGATTTTCGATCAAACTTTTGCTCAAATACTTTTCAAATCCATTTTATTTGGAACTGAAACATGAAATGATCAGAGATTCACGTAACTCAAATATGGCTATTGATACCTCTGGTACTGATTACATCGATTCGTTGTATTTCGGTGCTTTTGAGAATACTGAGATTGGTAAAGAAGAAAATAGCAAAACTGATAATGCTACATCTGATGCATCTGGTATCGACTATGTTGATATGCTGTATTTCGGTGATTTCTTAAACAATCGACCTACACTGGACGTGAATAAAAGTTACAGTAATTTTGGCAAATATTTAATTGTGAGAGTCGACAAAAATGATACGTATTGTCTAAAAAGGCTCAAAAAAATGAAACTGAGACGGAAATACTTGAACCCTATTGGCTTATCTGCGACAAAATCTTCAAAAAAAAAAGTGCAGCTTTTCTGGAACTGATTACATCAGTTTCCAGTGATTATATTAAAGCCGAAAACAATGTATTCTATTATTATTATTATATTCAAAACAAATGTTCATTTCGATTTACATTATTACTGACATGTGATTTTATATGATTCAACTTCTCTGAGGTTGAATTTTATAAGGGATATTTTAACAACTATTTCAGAATGCAAGATTTGACTGCTACAAAATTGTCTGTATGAAATCAAAATTGATTATTGAGCAAAACTTTATTGATTTCCTTCTTGTCTAGGAAGGAAATATCATTAAATTAAAAGGCGACGTCTAGCTAAATTGAGTGGCTCGTCTTGATTAACTCTTTTGAATTTGGATCTTGACATATCAAAGACATTGCCTCTTTTTTCCTCCCAAATTAATGATTCAAGTCTCGACAGATGCTTTTACGCACTTCAGATTCCCCTGAAGTGTCGTAATTTTATAAACTTCCTTAAAAATATGTTTCTTTTTTTAATTTTACATGATTTTTTTTTCTTTTAGATTAGCTGAGCAACATCCAGATGGATCATCAAATGATTTGGTAGAAGATTCCAACGAGGATGGTGACAATGACGATGACAGGATTGTCCAATCAGTTGTAAGTTTTTATCAATAGAACTACTTTGTTAAATTGTTATTGCAAATGATTTCTAAAGTTTTCAATTTTCAGAAAAATAAAAAAAAGGTGCTAACAAATTGGATCATTTATAATTTTGTGTGGTTGATCATTTTCATTTAACTAATTTTGTGTGGTTGTTCATTTTCATTTAACTTTTTATGCGAAATCATCCTTTAAACATTTGCGAGATCAAATTATTAGATAGCTTTCTAGATATTTCTTTTTTTTTTTTTCTGAAGAAAATTTGAATAAAAAGTGTACTATAGGAAGCATTGGATTTAAAGACATACAATGATATGGGTATCAAGAAAATATGGGAAGAAATTGAACCGGTGTGGAAAATGAACAACGATGATCTAATTAATATAATGACTAACAGGATTATTTATGAAGACGGTTTGATCTAATTTATTACTATATATAATTGTTTATCTGAATATAAGATATTAATTTTTTTTTTTATATCTTTTCAAATCTAAGACTGTCTTACATATTCATTGCTTTTTTTTTTTTCCAAAAATATTTTTGATTTTTGCATGTTTTCAGAGGAACTTATTGCATTCGATAAGCCATATCAAGTAGCTTGTTCAAATGCACCCAGCAATCAAGCTGAATTATTACGCATTCTTCCTCAACTTTCTTCTCGTATAACACCACATATGAATTGCTTGCGAATTGTAAAATCCATCGGGAAATCTGTTACTGGAGTCACATTGTTTGCAAAGTTAGCTTGTTTTCTTTTTCTGTTTTTTCTGTTTTTTTTTCCCTTTTTTTTTTTTTGATTTTAATAGATTTGAATAAAAATGTCTTTTTCAATTTTTTTAACATAAAAGAAATTATTTTATGATCGTATAACTGCTTTATTTCTTTCACCTTCTTTTGATTCAAATATGAGTAATATAATATGTTTATTAATTTAATATCAGAATTGAAAAATTAGGGTCAGAAAAAAAAGTGTTTTTAAGTACTAGGAAGTACTGACAAGGAATTTATTTTCTATATTAAATTAATTTAAAAGAGTAATTCAGGATATTTTTCTGAATTTTTTCGTTCTTTTACAGGAATCAAAATGTTCAGGAAAAAATAAAAACTTTGTACGAAAATGGATTAGTAGAGCAGTGTTACCGTGTTATTACAAATATGGCACCCGCACATCAAGAAGCTACTATTAACATTCCTCTTGTCAAATGTAGGAGAAAAAATAACAATTACGTGGTTGATTTTATTTTTATTTTATTTTTATTTTTTTGTTTTTGATTATTATTTTTTTATTTTGCACTATTAGCAAGAAATATAGATTGAACCATTTGCCTATTCAATCGATCAGTGCCATTATAATTGTTATAATAGATGGAATTGGATGACAGCGAAATTGTTTTATTTTGAAAGGTTTTCTCGAATTGGTTGAAGATAATTTCTACGATGCAAAAAAAATATGATGGATTTATATTTTTTAAAAAAATTTTTGAAGTGACTAGATCTTAAAGTGCAATTTGTAATGTAAAATTTGAATTATTTAATGAATTTCTTGTTTGATTTAGATGTTACCATTGAGTGCAAACAGTAGCAATGAAATTACTCCATTTTTGGAAGCAAGTACATATTATCGTGTTCTCAGACATGATCCCAAAAATCATACTAGTTACATGGAGTGTGTCGTCAATTGTGGTACTTTTTTTATCTGTAAATGAATTTCTAAAATTAAATATAGATTAAGTTGTTGGTATATTTTTTGAATTGTTACAGTTCAGTTCTTGAAATGTTTTATTCAAGTGGTTTATGTATAATAAGTTTCTTTCCAATATTTTGGTAATTAAAAAAGATGTGTTAATTTTTTTTTTTTTTTTTGTAACACAGTTTGAAAATTATTTATTTGTTTTCTATATAGTTATTTTCAAATGCTATTAAAACATTAAAAAGCAAAAATTTTAGACGTTCCGGAGCAAATACGCGCTCATCTTGGTATTGGTATTGCATGTCCCATTATTGGTGATATCAAATATAATTATAGTCGTCGAGAAGCAGGACGAGGGATTCCACCACGATTATCTGATAGTGCATTGCAAGATTTAAATATTGCTGGTAATTCAATTTTTCTTTAAGATATCTTTATCGCTATCATTCACTTTTATTGATAAACTGTGTGCAAATTTGAGCTTTTTTTTTTTCAGAATTTAGGAAATTTTTACTTTTATGATAATTTCATTATTTACACACAGCATAGTTAGATAAATAAATATCCAGTTAAATAAGTAAATATTAATTCTGGATTAATAGATTATGTACATATTATGATTACGAGAGTGCATTCGATTTTCTTCTGAATTTCTAAATTTTATATTTCATTCCTGAATTTCTTGAAAAGATTGTTTTTTCAGCAATCATATTTTCAGGTAATTCATTTCGTCGATTACCAATGTACATACATTTGAAAGAAGTGATAATTCCACTGTCAAAACAAAGCTCAAACAAAATTCATATTTGTGCTCCTATACCGTCTTTTTTCACATATACTTTAAGAAAATTACGTTTGTTGAAAAAATAAAATTTATAAACGATATATGTTGTATACTTCTTCTATTTGTAGCATATAACATGGAACTCCATATTGTGCATGTTTTTTTTTTTTTTTTTCAAAATTAAAATGAAAAAAATTGAAAAATATGAGATCTTTGAAGAGGATTAATTCAACTATATTTTCTAGATTTTATTATTAGTTTTGGTTAAGTTTTTTTTTTTTGATTTTGATGACCTTATTCAGGAATTACAAATTGTTGCTGGTTAAAGGTTTTATTGGAGAGCAAAGTTTTTAAATGTAAATTATGTGATAAGAAACTTCCTGAAAAAAACTGTCAAATTTCTAGTAATTTCAATTATTATTTTACAGTACTCACAAGATCAGCAATTTTGTGAAGTTTACTAACTATTCAACGTGTTAGTCAGATAATTTTATTCTATCCAAATAAGTTTTATAATTTTAAGCTAAGTATGTTCAATGAAGTTTAAAATTGGTAATACTTTATTACTTGACTTACGTATGCCGGAGCAGATCTGCTATGCTAAATTGGATGATGAATTACCAGGGAGTAAATCTGTTGTAAAATGGAAAACATCAACTTATTTTTTATCATCATTACTTTATGCAATTCAGACTGAATATGTAAAACAAGCTTTATTGAATTTTCTGAGGAGAAATTACAATATTTCAGTTGATAAGGTAAGTTTTCTATTTATTAAATCTAAATTGTGGTACAATAAGAAGTAACTAAGATTTTTATACATTTCATTTTTTTCCACACATCATTTTAAATTCATAATGTTTTTTCTGTCAGAGATT